GCACATTTAAAGTCTGTCAATTTGTTTCATTAAATGTGTGACATATTCTCATCAGATGTTCTCTATATACCAATATATATCACCTGCAATACCCAGTGAGTTTAAAGTCACCATCTAGTGGCTTGGAGGCGTACCCCTACATAACATTTTGTAGTCCGTTTGTGGATTTTTTTTTTTTTAGTTCTAACATCTTCTTTACATGCTCAGTATACAGCACCGCTCAACAATCCTGGGTTATTTCCTTGACTGCTATCACCTCAGATGGCCTTCATCATAGTTGCAGGAATCTGTGCCTGCCTTTACTTCCTCTTCCTCTGCTTCATGGTGTTTCAAGTCTTCCGCAACATCAGCGGCAAGAGGACGTCCCTGCCTGCCATGTCCAAGGCAAGACGCCTGCACTATGAGGTCTGTTTAAACCCAAAGTCTTATTGTGCTCCTATATATCCTTTTAAATCCAGTTAAAAGCTATTGGGACATAAAGGCAGTTCTCTGCAGTAAGAAGTTTGTTCTTTTGGGTTCTAATACATCCCTTTCATCGGCCTTCAGGGTCTGATTTTCAGGTTCAAGTTCCTGATGCTGGTCACTCTTGCATGTGCTGCAATGACTGTCATCTTCTTCATCATCAGTCAGGTGAGTCACATGAAGTCTAAGTAATGCCCTCCATAGTGAAGAGATGCATTTTGTGTATTTCTCAGAGACTATAAAAGCTATTTTGCATGACGTAGAGTCTGCCATACGGTTATACCAAAAATATGTGATGACTTTTTTTCTTTTCTTTGTAGGTGAATGAGGGCCACTGGCACTGGGGCGACCACACGGTGCAGGTGAACAGTGCTTTCTTCACCGGCATCTACGGCATGTGGAACCTGTACGTTTTCGCCATCATGTTCCTCTACGCACCGTCTCACAAACGTTACGGAGACGACCAGTCAAGTGGTCAGTGCATCACTGGTAACTATACAAGTCTACTAGTTTTGTTGAGAAAAAGGATGGATGGAGGGTCAGTCGCTAATGCTCTCAGTTGCAGGATCAGGAAATTCAAATTCTTAGCAGTTGTAGCTGTTAAAGTTCAATTCCAGCCAGTTATTTGTTTTTTCTGTTGGATGTTCTTTTAAAAAAAACGACTGGGGTTGTCGAATATTGTTAGACATAGTAACTCTAACATAGATTGAAGTGGAGGATGGAAACTGTACAGAGACTCTTTTATTGTGAGGTTTGGTTTCTGGCACTCTGGGGCTGACCCAACCATGCTCCCTGCCATCTTCATCATCCCTGCAGTCAGAGTGGAAGCAGCTGTCCATTCCCTCTGTTCGGCATTCGTCAAAATGACTTCTTACATTACAGAGTTCAGGATGTGCAGCTGGAGGGCTTCAGAGGGAAAACCATGATTATTTTTTTTAAACATAAAATGTGAGTGAGTTTCACCACATTCAGTGAATAAGGTTCTAGAGACGTGGGGCTTTTTTTTTTTTAGTCAGTAATCAGTGAGGCCCAGGTCCCATGGGGAAAAAAAAATGTAATGAGGTTCATTACCTTTGACTTGGACTTCAAAGCGATGAGGTCATAACAGTGTACAAGGGTAGTTAATTGTTTAAAATGAAAAATAAACTGCTGTCCTGAAAGGAGGAACACTACCAATGCCTCAGAAGCTGGACATGTGATGGTGGATAGAACCAAGATAATTACATTTAAATCGGGATCAGGTCTGAAAATTGATGTATAGGCCTACGTGACATTTTAGTCACATGATGATTACTTTTTAACACTCGCCCAAATTTCTTAACTTTGCCAAAGATTTTTCCACAAATGTCTTGAGTTTTATGACCAAACAGTAAATCAACATTGTCTTAAATACACTGGAGCTGTGCTTCATGTGCCAGATAAAAGCTACAAGCATTAGATACACCAGATAAAATAATAATAGATAAGAATGACATGTAATGAATGTTTACACAGAATACTCTATTTGTGTCTTTATATATACTTTTTTTAGTTACATTGGGTGTGTTTGCTCAAAGTCAGATTCAGTCTAGATTGCGTCCGGCTTACATGAAAGTTTTTTTTGGACATATCAAAAATTATAAACAAGCATGAAAAATATTTGAATAATTTCAACAATTATTGACTAATTCAATTTTTATGATAAACAGTAACTTAAATAATCCTTCTCACTTTATTCATCATTAGGTAAAGTTTCATTAGTGTTTCAGTAACTCTCACTTTTCTCTGATGGAGTGTCTGCTGTAAAGCTGTCTATTCATCTAAAGTTTGTGTTGGAGGAGGAGGAGGAGGAGGAGGAGGGTGGTGATTCAGAGGGACCCAGATTCCCAGGGGAAAGCAGGGTCTCTTTGGCCTGAGACGGTGATTCTAATGGACACCAGGCTTCCTTCCAGACAGAGAGGAAAGGCACGATGAAGAGAGAGGGGGGGTGTTGGGGTGGGGAATGAGAGCAGGGAAGTAATGAAAACCATCCATCCATCTCCTGACGTCAGTGACACAGGGAGAGAAAAGAGGTGTTTGAATCGCTGGAAGCTTTCCCTAAAGTGTGTCAACCAATCTGTCTATATGGAAGGGGGTCCCTCTCTCCAAGTTTCAGTCTGTGTTGATTTATTTGATTTCACTTCTGTTTTTAACAAGCTCAAAGTATTTATGTTAATGAAATTAAGTGAAAACGACTTTGTACTGCTGCAGGTTACGATCCACTGAAAATAAAGAATATGCAGAACAAGAACCAGCTAGATTTCACGTATAGTGTATCGTATTCAGGTTGGATTATTGGTAAGGGTGTTAATGAATTGTTCATGTGTGCAGGGGATGTTGGAGCAAACAGCGGAGAGGACATCCAGCTGACTACAACCATCACCCATGTTGATGGACCCACTGAGATCTACAAGATGACAGGAAAAGAGGCCCAGGAGTAGATTCCACACTGTAAGACTTCACAAGATGCTCCTCTGCTACCTACTGCTCCAACCATCCCCTCCCTCATATATATGTCAACAAACAGGCTTTTCTTTACATGCCTTTGCACTCAACATCAACACTCCACCTTGCATGCACCTACCGTTCCAAAGCGGTTATCTTTATCCCGCGAAAACAATTCAGCTGTGTGACTTATGTGCCACAATGTTACCCAAGACTGAATGTAATCGACACTCCTTTCGGTCCTTTTCATTTCATTGTACAATACTTTTCCTATGTTTCTTTGATTTTTTTTTGGGAACTTTGTTGTGTTTCTAAAAGTTGCACAACGCTTTTGTCACCAAAAAAAAAAAAAAAAGATGAGATTGTGTAGAGAAACTCGAATATGTTCCGAATTAGCATCCGTCACACTCCTGATTTAAAACACATGAAGATCAAAGTAGACTTTTGTAAAGGCCAGAGTCTGGAGAAAGACAGCCAGCAAGATATTTCGATACATTTAGCAACTTTGTTTGATATTCTGCTTCACTACCTACACAGTGAAAGCATTAAGAGCTCGTCACAAATGCATATTCTTCCATAGAGAAGTAGATCGTGTTGAGTACTGCTGTCTTTCAAGGGGTCTTTTTTTTTTCTTTACACCAGGGGGAAATGTACAGACCAAGCAGCCACTTTGGGAAATGCATACTGTATGTTCATTATGTTACAATGTAGATATCTATTTTTTATAAAGTGCTCATTTTCAGCTTCACAAAGTATATGCATCAATTTGTTTTGAAGTTGACTGTAGCCTATTATACATGGCTTTTAGTTTGTTTGTTGTTTTTGCTTTATATGATAATTTAAATAAAACAACCTTTTACTTAACATCATTGTGTATTGTCATGGTGATTGTGAACAACAGTTATATTTTAATTCAAAATTCCTTATTTGTAATTTTATTTAAGTTATCGAAAGTAAATTAAACCACGGGAAGGAAATGTCACTGAAATGTTTCCGTTTATTTCTCTAACCTGAAGTTCTGCTAAACTTCACCAAATGTAGTTTACTACTAACAGACTTGTTTATTTGTACAATACACTCTTAAAACACATTGGCTGTAAAGCTTTTTCAAATTATTCTGACTTTTGTGTGGTAGGCCTACCAGCAGGTTTAAATATGAACATGCGTTCTTGTAGGGAGAGTGCGCCCCCGCGAGGCTCAGTACAGAACTACAAGCCTGCTTTCACTTTTCATCAGTAAAGCCAGAGGAAGAGGATAGTGTGAGACAGGACGTTGTGTTTTTTTTATTCAGTATGTTCTGAATAAGCGATGTTTGGGTTCTATTTCTTATTTTTCGCTCGAAGGGTTTGGATACACCGATTGAAAAGTTGGCTAAATGAGAGATGAGAGGGAACATTATGGTGGTGCAGCAAAGGAACATAATTAGCCTAATTGGATATAGGCCAAAATATCAACTATACAAGAGCAAGGATTGGCTACTTAGGCTACATTTTACAAGGCAAGCTGTGTAAATAATAGCCTACATAAAGGCTAAAGCGCCGACTGTTTTGAAGTTGCATTGTGCCGCAATTAGCCTAGTGTGTGTAGACTAGAGAAATAAAGAGCCATCTACTGTATGTTGAAAGTGTTCCCCAGAGAAGTGGCTATATTAAAAAGTTGAGCTATACTACGTTGGATAAAAGAAAACCCACATAGGCTGTAGAGCAGGATAGTTCTGTAATATAGCAACTCATTATTATAGTTTAAGAAAATCTAATATCTGCATCACTTACAGTACAACAATATGAACAATACAATAACACTAAAATGGGGAAAAAAATATACGCTACTTAGAATAATAAACAATTCTACTCTTCAGCTTTGAAAAGGAAATTATAACAATTATTATAAATGTTTTAAACGTTTTAAATGTTCTTGTTGATTTAAAATACGAGCAGAGTGAATTAGCATATCCACTTCGACTTCCAAAAAGTCAGCAGCAGTATTATTATGAAAGTCTCGTCCGGATGTTGTATTTTTTAATGTAGCGTACCTGACGCTCGTGAGTATCCGCCTGTTGTTCCGCCTCCCACTCGGCTCCACTCGGCTGTTGTCGTCGACTCGCGCAAGAGCACAAGCGGAGGTGGAAAAGGAGTGGAGAGAGGGGGGACTGGTCGTAGTGAGGAAGGAAGGGGAAAAAAAAAAAGTAAACGAAAATTAAACATTAACACCAGCCGTCAGCGGAAAGTGAAAGCGGTGCGACTCGGCAGCTTGAAAGTCTCGGTGAGGTCCAAGCAGATCTGTTTTTATGGTTTAAACACGTTAGGGGAGTTGTGACATTGCGCTGTGAGCGACAGAGCAGAGGGAAAGGTCTCCTCCCAGTCTGTTGACGGATACAGTTCGGCTTCAGTGAAAGGAGACACGGCTAGACCTGACTGTTCGTTTCCCCGGTCAGGTAAGACTGTGTCGATAACCTGTCACACTAACAGCTGACATCTACCTGAAGCAACAGTTTGGTCTCAGACATATTGAGTGTATCTGCTCTCACAGCCTCCATCCGTTTATGCAACACTGAAGTGACACCACCGCACATTTTAACCTGTTTCATTTTTCCTATAGTGAGACTCCAGTGACCTCGCACATTTTATATGGGTGTCACGTCTTCATGAATGTTCAACAGGTGATAGCTGGAGCTCAAGGTTTGCTGAGCAGCACAGTGCCTGCCTGGGCCTTCTGCCCTGATTATTCCCCACAGGCCCCACCTACTGTGTTTGCACATAATGACTTATTCTGGAAAGCAAAACTTATTATTGCAGCGCTGAATAACACTTTCACAGAAATGTAAACCAGCCACTTCCTTCACATTATGCAACAGGTAATCGCTTGCAACAGTGCCAGTGCAGCCCAACATGAACCAATGAGATGATGACCTGGGTGAGATGGTTGAAGTGGAGGGCCCCACACAGGGAAGATGTTTACATGGAACATCAACAGTGCTGTTGATGTTCCCCTGGCCATTAGGAGGACAGAATACAGACCGACCATTGATAAGGCAGACTCATTAGTACCCCGTTCACCGCCATCAAAGCCTCCTCTCGAGGCCCATCAACATGAGTGGGTCGCGCCATACTTACTGAAAGCTGAGGATTAAACACTTCCTGCATTTTAGGCAATGACAGAGGTTAGGTCTGCTATAACATACGTTGAGTATTATTTGAAAGGAAGTGCGTCAGAATTTGTGTCTGTGTTTTCCCAATGACGATTGGGACTCAACAGGATACTTTAATCGACAGACGTGTGCTTGTGATGAGATTTGATAGGATACTGGTACCAGTATTGGCCCCCCATACTGACACTGATATCGATTTGATACCTGTATCCATATTGACGGGTGACACCTCTTTGAATTTTGGTATCTTATTGGCAAGTACGGCAGTCAGTACATGGATCCAGTGCTTCTCCCAGCAGGGGTTCCAGGTCAATTATAATGTCACAAAGGGAAACATCATCAACATGGTGCAATCTGAGATCAGAAAGCTACCAAAATTGGTATCGCTATTAGTATCAGGATTAGAATTAGACAACACTTACACCAATACCGATTTTTAAAACCAGTATAGCTCCTCTTCCAGCATCAGGTGTTGGCAAGTATGCCAGTCAATACGTAGATGTTTTACGGCTAAGGCTTTGGCTGCAACAAACACTAGAATCCCTGTATTATTCCACAAGAACTTTTCGTACCCTTGTCGCAAATTATGAATTTATTCTGATCTGTGTTTAATGAGGAGCTAAAAAAGTGACCTCCAACAGGAAAGGTATTCTCTGTTTAAAACTATTGGCTGAATTTTGAGTTGTGGGAATAGGTTGGCTTTGATAGCTGGCAGGATTGAAAGTGACGTGTGATGCATATAAATTGATTAGTAACAGGAGGAGGGGGTTGTGGGTGGAATGGGAACAATGTCTGCCTCGAGGCAAAGGATTAGATTAAAAAACAAGCATATGGTTTGGGAACTCCCAGCACGGCTTGTTATTTAAGGTTGGATTGATTTGAATCTCGTTCCTCCTTCTCCATGTGAGTTTAACCTGTGGAGCATTGGATGAACGATTGGGATCACATTGGGATAGGAAGTTGAACAAGCAGCTATAACCAATGCTGTAATACCGTATGGGAAAAATAACAGGCTGCTCTGGAAGCGGTGTGTATCTCCTCTGACTCAGAATGCTGCCAGACTCGATCTGCAGCTCTTTCGGCAACTTCTTGACAAGCAGCGAGGAGGAAGATGAAGGTCAGGATCTGTTTCCTCATAGCTCTCTGTGTGTGCATGAGCGTCTGTGGATTCCCCTGCTGCTCTTGACAGTTTGTTGAAGCCTGAGTAGGTGTGTTTGTACCTGCCTGTGTCAGCTTGCTTGATTATCTTAAGGATTCATACTACTTCCTATGTATAAACCGAATGATTCACATATTTTCTAAAATGTAAAACACCACTCAGATATATGTCTCTTAAAGTACATCAAGTGTATGTTTCTACCTCCTTACACTCATACTTCTCTCTGTTTCTGACTCTTATTGTAATAATATAACCACATACAACCACATACTTATTAAAACACAACCTGTTCACTGCTAAAGCAATGAGTCATAGACCAATTAATCACATCAGTTCATTAAAAGAAAGCGTATCAGCAACTTTAATATACATGTTAAACATTATTCACTGATGTAGGCTTATCACAGACATACTGGGATTGGTGTGCATTTTTTCTGCTAAAAGACAGTATTGTGTAATTACAAATATTGCAGGAAGTAATTTTTGTGCGACTATTTACCGTTATTGCAGCAGCGTGAGATGGTCGTTCACACTTGATTCGCCTGTCATGATGTTAAATATTCATCAATAGTCATGTGTTCAAGAGAGCAGCTCTCTGATAACCTTTTGTCTTTTGTGTTTCGTGTTTGATCCTGTACTGGAAAAAGGGACATTTTCATTTCAGCTAAAATCATTCACTGCATCAGCAATATATGTAATCACTGAATTCGTTGTATCGGTATTGGTCTCTAAAATACCGTGTTGGTCAGGCTCTATTAGTTGGATTAATCACTGTGAATTTGTAAAAAAGAAAAAAACGTTTTAAATGTTTGGTTTGATAAAACAAACAGTTTGACGATGTAATCCTATGATAATGGTATTTTTTTAGATGATACATTATTTATTATTTTTTTAAATAAAAGGCGGTCATTCTTAACTAATCAGTGCTATCTCGCAAAAAATTGTCAGGAAATGAATTGATCACAATTTTCATTGATAGATTTTTTTTGTCAAAGATGAAAACTAGACCTCTAAAGCGATCATAAGGACTTGATGATCCTATGACTTTATTAGTTCTGCCCTCTTATAGACAAAACAAACATTCAAACAAACAGAGAAAATAACTGACCTATTGATAGATAATGTAGTGTGTGTGTGTGTGAGTGTGAGAGTCTGTGTGTGTGTGTAGTCACATGGCCCAGCCTACAGTGGTTTGTTAAATTCCACCCTGCGCGGGGGCAGATGTGAGGAGAGGAGCTGTGGTGACACTGCGGATACACAGACACACCCATCTGTTGGTTTGGCAGCAGAATCACTTGCTTTCACAAAATACCAAACTTAACTACATCCTGATTGTTTTGCCTCCAAATAGACGAAAGTCACTTATCTGCTTCTATTGCGAAAACATTTTCACATTCATTTTTTTTATCTTAATGCCACATTAATCAGACATTAAAGTTACTCAAACGTGTAAACACAGGTAAAGATGACGTTTCATTTTCACTGCAGGCTTCAGGAAGTAAGGCGCTGTCAGTGCTCATATTCAGGTCAAGACAGCATCAGATTCAGATGTACACGTGTGTCAAGGCCAAGCAGGAAGTGTTGTCATAGGAACCATCTCAGATAGGTCACAAAGGTGGCGTAACAGACTCTCGCGTTTGTCAGTCTGAGTGGAGATGACTGTTGGCGGACAAAGAGGTCTCCACCCAAACATGAGCACCTAAACCTCCACGTGGGAGGAGAATCCAAGGAATGCTTTATTTACCATGACTTCCTCATTGCAGCTACAAAGCTTGTCTTAAAGCCCTCATTTTCATTTCATGATGGTTTCTTAAAGTTTTGTTAATGAGCTTCAGTTGCCATCTGTCTCAACCATCAAGCTGAAGAAGCCCCATCAGATCAATCTTTGATGTATTCATTAGAACTGACTTACAACTGTATCCTTATTATCAAATACTGGCTGAGTGAAGGGCTTTCAGTTCATAGGCTGCAAAGTGTCATGGGTTGTTTCTCATTTTGTTCAAGTTGGGGTTGTGTACACTGACTTCAGAGGATAAAGTAAGGTAATTTTAAGCAATAACTCTCTTATAGTCTTTATATATGGATGCTTTGTTGTGACTCACAGTCACTTTACATTGCTCTGATAGCATGTTAGGAGCCAACACAGAAATCACCAAGTGTCTCTTTGAAGGATAACACACTTTTAAATATCTATAATTTTTGAAGAGTTTGAATATTTAGCGTTCTGTTTCTGTTTCTACATAAAGTTACTTTAAGAGGTTTACTATTTTGTTATTGTTTGGATTTAATTTGACAGGTGCAGAGTCAAACTAAACTTTTAAAATGCATAATTCAATGATATTATACTGTATATATATTTTTTATGGGTACTAATTGCATAATGAAACCTTAAAACCAAACTGTCTTTTTTAAAGATTTATTTTCTTTGCGTTTATTAGGATAGAACAGCGGATTGAGCATGTGAACCAGGGAGAGGGAGTTAGTAATGACATGCAGGAAAGGGAGAAAAGACGACAAGGTGGAACTTGAATCCGGGCGCCTCTTGGAGGACTATAGACTCTGTGCTTGGGGCCTGACGGCTAGGCCATCAGCGCCCCCAACTGTCAGGTTTCTTTGTTGAGCCTAACAGCTAACAACTCATTGATTCATGTAAGGCTTCATAGAAAAGGTGACTTTTTACCTGTAACTCAAAGAAAAACATGGCACTGAATCTGCCCTCATGGATATACTGAATATCTGTGAGGTAATTACTTTGAGGGACGACAAGGATCAGTCTGAATCTTTTAAAAGTCGGCATTGAGTAAACTCTTTTCAAAGGCCTGATCTGGATTCAGTCATGAAGAAAAGTTTCTTCTATACTGACAATAATCAAAGAATGAGAAGGAATCCCCCCGTCAAGTTTAAATAGAAGACAAATTAAAAATGTCTGGTTTCACAAACATCTGAAATAGAAAATGTTCTAAATATGACAGCCTGCTGCTTGTTTCCACATTTGGTGTTTCCATTGAAGCACAGGTGACAGACATTTTTCTATTTGTATAAAATCATTTGAACACCTGGGATTGTCTTGGTCATAGTGACAAAATGTTTTCCATGCACGATGGATATTTCCTATTTGTTGTGGTGT